GGGTACGCATTTTGACCTTAAAGTACGCTGGTACGATTTGTCACTCTAAACTACGCAAAAACCTGGTGACCTGTCCACGCGCAGTAAACAAGCAACAGAAAAAGATGAGGAGGACAACCAATCAGAGCGTTTTCCGTGTATTTTTTTTTTTATTTCTCTCCAAACTGCTTCTGTTTGTGTGTCCGTGAGTCGTGCACTGAGATAAGGAAACAGGTGTATGGTATTTCCTGGAGTCGTGAGCTCTATTTCTTCGGTGATGCATATGTGGACTTTCTGCGCAGGGGCGCCCTCTAGTATCCAGTATGAATGAAACAGACATTACATGTGTTCATAGCACTAAATAATGGCCAATCTATAAAAATAATACTTCTCTCAAAATAAATTTAAGGTAGACATGTGATAATCCATGTTTTTCTACAGTGTACAACAATGTACTGGAGTTTTTTTTTTTGAATAGCATTTAAAATCGCTAAAAATAACTCTGTTGTGCCAAACCATCAGAACCATACTAAAATAACATGAAGTCTAGCATTTTGCACATTGTGCAATTACGATTTTGACATTAGCCATCAAGGAGCTTCAAGTAATGTAGGAATAGGCTATATGACCCCCGGTATCACCCCCCACCCCCCAGTCACACTGATGGTACTCAAAAATGTTTTCAAAGGTTGGCAGGTCTGGATTCCGGATTTTTAAATAGTTGAAAAATTGACACTTAAGACTGGTTTTGTGGTCCATGGTCACAAATCAAGCTAATGCAGCAGGCAGCACATTAAGAGATTTAGCTTTAGTTACAGTATTCAACAAATGTCATAATAAATGAGGAAAAGTATTACATACAGCAGTGACAAGCATTCCTATCTGGACGGAATTAGTTTTCTCAGAGGAACCCTGAGCTAGCCAGGGTAGGTAATTTGCTCTTTGATTTTTACAAAGGTTGCGTGAGACATGTTCAATTCAGATGGCAATAACACAATCACAAAGTACATCTATGACGAATTTGCTTAATCTCCTCAGGGTAAACCTGCCCTGTCTGAATAATGCTGAAGAGGGTGTGTGTTGTGTGTTGTGTGTTGTGTGTTGTGTGTGTTGTGTGTGTGTGTGTGTTTTGTAAGACT